TTAAATTTAAAATTTAAAAAAGGGGGGGGGGGGGGATTATTATAATAATCTCCAGGTTCAGATATATGGTTTTAAATAGAAAAATCATAAAATAAAAATACTACTAAAGCCAAGTCTTATTTAAAGTCGAGTGATAAAGCCAAAAATTTTTTATAACAATAATACTAATAAAATTAATAAATTATTGTCCAGCCTTTTTGGCAAAATGACAATATATATATATAAAAATTGCTCTAAGATGATTTTCTCCCCCAGAGGAACCACCACTTTACACATTTTTGCCACATTGCTTAATGCAAGCAGTAAATTATTGTAAAAATGTCTTTAAAAGAATTAAAATGTTTTTTTTGTTTTTGGAAAACAGCCATTTTTAGCTACATATATTTCCTGTTTAACACTGGAAGCATTGACTCACAGGTCCTCCATGTTTTCCAAACCAAAGAGAGCTCCATCCATCAGCTTCGTGATGCCGTTGCGCTGCATCTTTAATGATTTAAGACCCTTCAGTTCTTTGAAAATTAGACTTTCCACGACACGAATCCTGTTGCGCCTCAACTCTCTGAAAAGTGACAAAACATGAAGAGGGGCACATTACAATGAGAAAATCCAAACTACTGTCCTAACCACCGGAGAGAGACAAGACAACAAGGGAAATTAACTCCCCACTTGATAATATAAGGTGCATTTAGCACGCAGTAAACTTGTCAGACACAATCTAATTGAGCACATCCTATTCATTAGCCATGAATACGCACAAGACTTGGAGCTGAGAGAGGGTGAAGACTTTATCAGGCAGCACAGAGAGTCTGTTCTGGTTTATCTTCAACACCAGAAGGGAGCTGATGTTTCCGAAACAACCGGGCTCCAAAGAACTTATCTTGTTTTTGCTCAGGTTGCTGTCGTGATGGAGAGAGGAAACAGACAAATATCCGTAAGCCCCAAAAGTAATCAGAAACACCAAGAAAAACATCCATTATTCAATGACAAAAAGAGCAAAGCAACAATTGATATTTAACTCAAGGGAAAAGTATAACTTCTTCAGAAATCTCTCATTTTGAACACAGTCCTATGAAAGTGCAAAATTCAGACAAGCCTGAGTACAAAAACTCACAGATATTTCAGCTGCATGGGAGGGAATGATCCGGCCTTGAGCTCAGATATAGAATTAGAGCTCAAATCTAGACTTTCCAGAGATGAATATTGCAACAGCTGCTCCGCCACGACTTCTGAGATTCGGTTATGAACACTGAAAATTAACAGCAGATCGTTATAGTGCCATATCAACATACATCATTTACTCTTAATGAAAAGTAAAATAGTAAACAATCATGTAATCCACATGAACACTTCAGTCAACTACATAACACTACATAAGCAACTGGAGCAATTTCACCAGCTATAAACAGCAGCGAAGCCTAAAAAAGAATGAAACGCAGCGGGAAACTTACAGTGACAGCACTGTGATGTTGGATGAGACATCTCCAAGAAAAGGCACCGCTGTAAGTTCATTCTGATTCATAGACCTAAATTCACAAAGAAATTGTATTAACACCTGAAGAAGAAAAAAACAACAACTTTACAGACCAATACAGTCTATTATAAACCCAAAAACTGAGGAAAATGACTAAAGGAATAGCAAAAGGCTTATCTAGTTGCACTCACTTACAAAAAAAAATGGTAGCAAGTGCATAACCCAATTTTTAAGACTGGAGGAGCAAGTGTCAAGTCTATCATTTGTACCGTTAGATCTGATAAAAAGACTCACACTACTGCATATTTAAAAACAGATTTTAAAACAACAAAGCAAAGAAACTAAACTAGAAATAGTATATAATATAAAGTAATTCATACATTTACTTGAAAAGATTTCACAAGGAAAAAACACCACTGCACCACAACATTGCTGTACATTTTAGAAATATGCTAAAAGGTCTTTGACTTACTAAAAAAATGTATGTTCATCAATGAGAGAGCAGAAGGCAAGTGGAAGAGTTTTGATCATGTTGGTAATTTAGAGACCTTCGAAATTCATGTATCAAACAGTAGGCTGTAGAGGGACGCTGATGCCTCTGCTCCAATCAGTGCAAGATACTTTCTAGTTACTAAAAAACTATATATCTACAGTATAAATAAATAAATATTACGCTATTTTAGAGGATTTTTTTTCTACAAGGAATCATTTGACATTTCAAGGCAATGCCAAAACAAAACATTTCATAAATAGTGACTAGAACTGCACCAAACTAACAAATGTGAACTAATCTAGGGTGACCATACGTGCCATTTTCCCAGGACTTCTATATTGCCTAAAATATCTAGGTTTTGGCTTTGTTTGCGTGTGCAGACCGATCGGTGTATGCCATCAAAGTACCTCGAGAGCATTTTGAAAGCATAAGGAACCGTCTGTATGGTATTTTGATGGCATACACCGATCGGTCTGCACACTCAACAAAATGGCACGTATGGTCACCCTAAACTAATCAGCTGGCAGTTGTGCGTCAGTATTGTGCACATGTGCAGACCCTGCAAAGAGCTGGAGGCTGATCACCAGAGCATGTAAACATCTTCTCTATTACTCACGCATGGGTGATCCAGGCTGGAGCTTCCAGAGCTGCAGCAGTCAGTCCCTTCCTATTGCAATCCAGCAACTGTGCTGCGCCTGGACCACCAGAACACGTACAGGGAGAAGGGCAAGTGTCCAGGCCCGCGACACTCACTATGAGCAGGAACAGGGCCTGGGGGATGGGCCAGCCCTCCGCCATTTTGAGCTTCTTGAGCGCAAATGATCAGTCCAAATTATGACATTAATGAGACACAGAGACTAATCTGTGTTTTAAAATATAAACATGATTTTATAGGCATCCGAATGAAGTTGAAAAACATTGCAAGGCTCTGGTGAAATCAATCCGGAGCCATCACTTGGCTCTCTCTCAGCTCGTCCCTTCTTCTTCTTCTTCTTCTTCCGCCTCGCAATCTCTGCAGCTTCAAGAATTCCCAAACGGAGCGTCAAACAAGCTTCAAGACGCGGAAATATAGTTTAGGTATTCCGAAAGATGTCATGTCCTATATACAATTGTTTGTTTACACTTGAGAGAAAAATAGAATATAACTAAAAATCGCCTTTCCAAACATTGTTCCTTGACTTTTTTCCCAAGGAAAAACAAAAGCGCCTTCTTCCGTTGACACGTGATCCACCCCGCTGTCACGTGCTGCTAGAGGCCTCGCATCATTGGCCAGTCGACTAATCCGTCAAACTTGACTTTTTTCACTGATTGTTATAAATGTTTTATGAATGTTATATTTTAAAGTGTATATTATGACAGCTTTTCAATTTTATTGTATCTCTTTATTTACTTTTTTAATTACCAAGTAGCTAGATTTTTTTTATTTTCAGCTTGTTCCCTACCCAAAACTTTAACCCCTGTAATGCATTTATTTAAAGGGATAGCTCACCCAAAAATGAAAATGTGATGTTTATCTGCTTACCCCCAGGGCATCCAAGATGTAGGTGACTTTGTGAAGTGAAAGTGACGTGTGGCCAAGTATGGTTACCCATACTAGGAATTAGTGCTCTGCATTTAACCCATTCTTAGTGCACACACACACAGCAGTGAACACACACACACCGTGAACACACACCCAGAGCAGTGGGCAGCCATTTATGCTGCGGCGCCCAGGGAGCAGTTGGGGGTTCGGTGCCTTGCTCAAGGGCACCTCAGTCGTGGTATTGAAGGTGGAAGAGAGCACTGTACATTCACTCCCTCCACCTACAATCCCTGCCGGTACGAGACTCGAACCTTTGGGTTACGAGTCCAACTCTCTAACCATTAGGCCACTACTTCCCAGTAGAACTGTTTCTTCAGTAGTTTAACTCCAGCCGTTGCAGTCTATCAGTCGTATAACGCATGGCAATGGTAACACAATCTATGAGAGTAAAAAAACATGCACAGACAAATCCAAATTAAATTCTGTGGCTCGTGATGACACATTGATGTCCTAAGACACGAAACGATCGGTTTGGGCGAGAAACCGAACAGTATTTATATCATTTTTTACCTCTAATACACCACTATGTCCAACTGCCTTGAGCGCGCGCACGGCATCCGGTGCGTGAGGTGTGTACGCGCTCTGGCATAGTTTACGTTAATGGGTGTGTTGATATCCAGCCGAAAAGCAATCAACCTTAACTTCAGGCGAGCAGGCTCAGAAGTTGGGAATATGTGGAAAGTCACCACTCCCGAGTGAGTTCGTGCGAGAGAACGTAATCTTTTAGTTTTAAGTCGGTTTGAACAATCCGGATAAGCGCAAGTAAGTACCATTTTGATTAGCCGTCGTACCTACAATGTTTGTGCACTGTGTAAACAATGAGTGACGTATACGCGCGAGAGATCACTTCCGGCGCTTGCGTAAACTATGCCAGAGTGCGTACACACCTCACGCTCCGGATGCCGTGCGTGTGCACAAAGACAGTTGGACATAGTGGTTTATTAGAAGTAAAAAATTATATAAATACTGTTCGGTTTCTCGCACAAACCGATCGTTTCGTGTCTTAGGACATCAATGTGTCGTCACGAGCCGCAGGGTTTAATTTGGATTTGTCTGTGCATGTTTTTTTACTCTCATAGATTTTGTTACCATTGCCATGCATTATACGACTGATAGACTGCAACGGATTGAGTTCAAAATCTTAATTTGTGTTCTACTGAAGAAACAAAGTCACCTACATCTTGGATGCCCTGGGGGTAAACAGATAAACATCACATTTTCATTTTTGGGTGAACTATCCCTTTAAAGGGATCAAACTCTGCTTTGCATTCTATAAAAATGTAAATAAATCATATTTTGAGCTCCTTAAATATCTGTTTGAACAGGAATTTTGCTCTGCACAGAACTGTCATCATCATCTTTCAGCCCGACACAAAGGTAATCTTCATGATCTGATTAAAATGTATTTTTGTCAGAAAATTTAAAAATGTTATTTTTCTCAAACTAAATAATTTTAAACAACAGTGCATGTGATTGTTTGCTTTCCAAGAGTGGTTCCCACAGCAACATAGTTTCAAATGTGAAGTTATGCAAAAGACTTATTGATGTGTAAGACTGAAATGATCTAACTCGTATGTATGTGCTAAGGGCCAGTTCTCTGACTACACTCTCAATGTAACTCAAAGTATAAATTAGTAGAGATGACACATTTTAAACTAGGCCAGCATGTTGACATCAGTAATATATTGTTGTGCCCAATGATATAACAACTAAATTATCTAAATTATCTAAGATCCATTTGACATATACATTTACTATGATCTTTGTATTGTATTTAGAATATTACTGCTGTTGCATTATATGTGTAACACGCTATATTACATTTACTGGTCAATATGAAAGCAGCTGCATTGAAAAATTATCAAATAAGCATGAAATAAAAAGGATAAAATACATTTTTAGCTGAAGCATGTTTTAAATTAGCTTCCATCGTGTAAAAAAACAGACTCATTTACACATTTTCATACATTATGCTTGCAGAAATGAAGCCTGCATGGTAAACTTGTCATACCAGATTTGCCCAGGCAGGTTAATGTTGTATGATTATTGATGCAGATAATAAAATAGTTTGTTTGTAAAAGAGAGAGAGAGAGAGAGAGAGAGAGAGAGAGTGTGCATGTGTGTGTTTGTGTGTGTGTGAAAAATATATTATTTAAAAGATTATTTGCTGAAGTAAAGAAAACCAAACGATGAGGCCTCATAAATGGTGTCTTGGTAAAGGTATAAGAGACATGTGAGGTCCAATAAAAAAACATCTCTGTAAACCATGTCTACATTTTTACTGAGTTACTCAATAATTCTTTAGACATTGTTAGTCAATAACTGCATTGCTTAATCTGATTTTCTAGGAAAATTCTTGAAATGTGTAGCTTTGAGCAAGTTTTTGGACAGGTGAGAACTTGTCTTTTCTCTCCTGCTGCATCATCCACCCCAGTTTCTCAGAGGAGAAAACAGGTTATTTGAGGCCTTTAGTCTTCAAATGAAGTCTTCAACAACGGATGTGTCGCAGGAGCAAACACGGTCTGTCAGCTTACCTCGGAGTCTGTGAAAAAGAAAAAAGTGGTCAGACATGACAAACGTGTTTCAGCGGACCTGTTGACTGGAAATCAATGTACCCACACAAATTGTGCATGTCGTTGGTACGGAATTGTAGACCAGTAGGTAATGTGACAATATTATAATCCATTGTTTTCCTTCACTGTGTTCTTAAAAAAAATTGCACCATGAATTGAGGAACTGTATAGCAGTAGCCAAGCCCACATTGTAAATACATTGGAGCTGTTTTTAGCATAAAAGATACAAATTATGTGCTAACTGTAAACATTAAAAGCATTTAAAAAAAAATTTTAATGATCATTTTCATATCATATTCTTGAGAACAAAGCGCCTATAGATACTTTAAAAGTAACCCTCAACTGTGTTTAAAATGTTTGATTAACTTACCTTTGCATTAAATTGAACTCATTAATAAAATCAAAAAATGAAAATAATATTAGAGTATATTTTATTTATTTATGTACTTATTTATTGCAAGCGTTGTGTGAAAACTGAACAATGAAAATAAATATTTGACTACATTTTGTCACGATACTAAAAATTCTAAAAACAAAACCAGCAAAGATCAGCGCTAATTAGTATTTAGTCTAACTTAAATGTTAAGTAAATACTAAAAAAAAAAATCATGAAAAAAAGGATCAGGGGATATTACAAAAACATTTGTGCAATATTAACTCCACTGTAAACAGACTATAAAATGTTGCTTCTAGACAACAAACCAATAAGCTTAGCATTTAAATCCTCCATAGCACAGAAATAATTGAAATGGCTCTAAATGTAATAAAATTAAGTGTACTCCCTAACAAATCTGAATTATATTTTGAATGGGTGAAAAATAATGGCTTAACTGAAGGCAGTTCTTCAGAACAAAATATGTGCAGCCTAGATATAAAAATCACAAATAAATAGCTTTTTATTGGTTTATTCAAAGCCATCCCCTCACCAACAATTGACTGTCATCGTATTTGCATCACGTGCTTGCACATTGAAGAAAACGGTTTGTTATCCTGAGGCAATACTGGGACAAACAAGTTCAGTCGCGCTGGCGTTAACAGCGCCCTCTAGCGCCAGTCGCTATGCCGCATACTGAGGGCGTTTCCAGTCAGCTGAAGTCTTCCCACTTCGAGACTTCCCTAGACATCCATCCACCTGCATGCGGTCAACCAATAGGCGTTCTGGCACGGTGGCATCTCAAGTACATAAAGGGTTAAACGAAATTGTCAAAGTCACTTTGAAAGGAAGACGCATCGTTGCAAATCATGGTGCCCCGACGATCATTTACAATTGACACCGAGAAAACGACAAGGACGACATATGTGCTCGGAACGGAGTTGACGGTGAATTTAAACAGGTGGGCGAATGTATTTTTCATGCATTATGTGAATGGACTCGTATGGATATTAGAACGTCGTTTTAAAGGGGCAGCCACACGGGACGCGCTCTTGCGTTTGTAAACCGCGCGACGTACGGAGCTCAAGGGAATTAAACACCGCGGTCGATTTTAATAGCGCGAAAGACGTATTTAAAGGGACAGTTCGCCCAAAAACGAAAGTCCCTTTATCATTTAAGTTACTCGCACTGTTGTTGTTTCAAAACCCGTTTGACTTTATTTCTTCCGCGGAGAACGAAAGGATACGTTAGAGAGTGTTTGTTTGGATCTGACAGACGCAGTCTCTATTCGCTTTCGTTGCATATGAGTGAATGGTGACCAAAACTGTCAGTCGCCAACATTATTATATAAAACATAAATCAAATGTGTGTTTACATGCTACAAACGTGCTGCATTCCTGCTAGTTGTCTAATAGGATTTATATATTTTTTCAACATTGTTTGTGATCCGTGTCAAATTGACTTGGCACGGTGGCATCTCAAGTACATAAAGGGTTAAACGAAATTGTCAAAGTCACTTTGAAAGGAAGACGCATCGTTGCAAATCATGGTGCCCCGACGATCATTTACAATTGACACCGAGAAAACGACAAGGACGACATATGTGCTCGGAACGGAGTTGACGGTGAATTTAAACAGGTGGGCGAATGTATTTTTCATGCATTATGTGAATGGACTCGTATGGATATTAGAACGTCGTTTTAAAGGGGCAGCCACACGGGACGCGCTCTTGCGTTTGTAAACCGCGCGACGTACGGAGCTCAAGGGAATTAAACACCGCGGTCGATTTTAATAGCGCGAAAGACGTATTTAAAGGGACAGTTCGCCCAAAAACGAAAGTCCCTTTATCATTTAAGTTACTCGCACTGTTGTTGTTTCAAAACCCGTTTGACTTTATTTCTTCCGCGGAGAACGAAAGGATACGTTAGAGAGTGTTTGTTTGGATCTGACAGACGCAGTCTCTATTCGCTTTCGTTGCATATGAGTGAATGGTGACCAAAACTGTCAGTCGCCAACATTATTATATAAAACATAAATCAAATGTGTGTTTACATGCTACAAACATGCTGCATTCCTGCTAGTTGTCTAATAGGATTTATATATTTTTTCAACATTGTTTGTGATCCGTGTCAAATTGACTCCTATACAAGTAACTAAAGTTCTCAAACAAAATCAAGCAAATGGTTAAAGCATGTTACTGTCTGACAACTGAGTTTAATTTAGATCAAAGGAACCTATTTAAGGAACTTTAAATAGAAAATAAAAGGATTCATTTCAAAATTACTATTATTATTTTGACAAGCACATCATTACAGACTCGAACCCAAACAGTCTGTCTAAACACAATGTCACTAAAAAAGGATGCATGTATACACACCACACCAACAACTGAAGTATAACGCAGATGATATGAATGTAATACAGTTTTGCTAACATGGTTTATAGCTAAAATGGTCTATTGTTTGTAAAGTTTCTAAACAATTCATTGGCAACATCATTCTGGAATGAACTGAGTTTTCAATATTTGCAAATATCGAGCTGTTTGTCATAATTGATCTGTTTGTTCTGCATATTTGCTGGGAGAATTCATGGGGCGTTGATGATTGAAGAATTTCTTCTTTCAGCTCCAATTCCAAAGGTGCATGAATGCACTTGTTGTGCTGCTACATTATTTAAATTCATCACTGAACTCCGTCTCAATGCTTCGGTTTATAAAAGCCACTGTCGGCTATTGTCTTTGATAGCTTTCCAAACCTCCTAATAGCTCTTTTCTTTAGGTTTTTAAAAGACCTTTTTGTTTTTATCAGCCCATACTGAAATAGACAATCCATCAGCAACATCATCATGACTAGCGCCTGTTGTCTTAGAAGATAGAATTGAATCATATATCTGTTATAAATAACCCACTATCTAATGCAGTAATTATGACATTTGGGCTGGTGACATGTCATGTTCCAGAGTGTCGTCAGTGGTGTGACATGCTTGAGCTAATCATTTAAATCCATTTTAAATTACTTTTTAAAAATGAATGAATGTCAGAAAATGTTGGTCCTCATGGTTTAAAAGTTACAACCTTAAGAATAAAGCTGCCAAACCAAACTCTCAGCTTTGTTACCATTGGGTTTGCAATTTACAATTTTAAAGAACTGTTTTCTATTTTAATATATTTGAGTACATTTTTATTCCTGTGGTGTCAAAGCTGAATTTTCAGCATTATTACTTTAGTCTTCATTGTCACGTGATCCTTCAGAAATCATTCTAATACGCTGTACTATTATAATCAATGTTGAAATATGATATTGCTTAATATTTTTTGTGGAAAAGAAAGGTCAAATGAAAAGCATTTATTTACTTTTGATCAGTTTAATGTATCCCTGCTGAATAAAAGTATAAAAAAAAATAACTGACCCCATATATTTCAAAGATTGTGTTTATTTAAAATAATCAATTTGGTTTGAAATGGTACAATACAGTTCCTTTGGGCAATATCCTACACTCTTAAAAATAAAGGTGCTTCACGATGCCATAGAAGAACCTTTTTGTCTAAATGGTTCCATAAAGAACCTTTAACATCTGAAGAACCTTTCTGTTTCACAAAAGGTTCTTTGTGGCGAAAGAAGGTTCTTCAGATTACAGAAACACAAGAAAGAGATGGTTCTTTAAAGAACCTTTGACTGAATGCTTCTTTGTGGAACCAAAAATGGTTCTTCTATGGCATCGCTTAAAGAACCTTTTGAAGCACCTTTATTTTTAAGAGTGTACAGTGAAATAGATAAATTCAGAATGTGTCTGTGTATGCATGTGTTCTCTACAGGTGTGCCCCACCGCAGTCCAAATTCTTCTCGATAAAATGCAGCCCAAATGTGCATTACAAGATCACTCTCCAAGCCAAGGACAGGAACGCCGTTCCGTACCCTCTCACCCCAAACTCGGTCCTCATCGTAACCATGGACGCAGTCAGCAAGACTGCAAACGACAGCAAGGTACCTACAGCACATCCAATCACCTTTGTCCTCCATTAAGAGCAAACACCGAAAGAATCTGTGGAATTTTCCGCATTTGGAGGAAAATTCTGTGGAACGGATTTAAACAAGATAAAATGTTTGAAACTGAGCCAGAAATACTAGACTCTAGTATCTGAAAGCATCAAACTAGCACAGATATTTAAAAGGAGGATGTGATGGGGTTTTCTGTGGATTGCTGTGTGGGCAGATTCCACTTGGGTACGTTTCTCGATGTATGATCAACCTTAGCACTAAAGCAGATAATAGTCCTTTAGAAAATAAACAGAACTGAAAGAAATCGACAGTTGCGGACAGGAAACCGCTTGTCTCGTCAGTCTTGTTACTCTGATGCACACGCACTCTGTGGTTAACCCTGTTACTAGTCTATGCAGGAAACTTTGTCTATTAGGTTTATGTGTCGACATGATCTCACGTCACTTTCACAGCACTGTCTAGCACTGACAGCTTGAAATCTAGATAAATGAAATACATTTTGTATGCAATCATTACAGTGATGAATCACTCTAGTAATAAAAAAGCCACAATAATTGTCACAATGATCCACCTAATGCTTGTTTCCATCTGATCGGTTTCAGTTATCTGTGAGGTACTATGGAGAGAAGACGGAGGCTCTCGGGGATGCCCTGCTGCATCTAACAGCTGTTGGTACGGCTCCGATGTTTTCATTTTGAGACATACGCCTGTGTTTATGAATAATGCTTATGTAAACCGTGTCTGTGCTGTAACTGTAAACATCCTCATGCTGGTGGGACTGTGAAGGAACAAGCAAGCCTCATGATGTCTCTCTTCTGTTGCAGAGATATCTCTGGACGTAGATGCTGACCGAGACGGCGTTGTTGAGAAAAACAATCCAAACAAGGTGAGCTTTGTTTGCTGGTAGTCTTGCGATCTGTTCAATATCATCTTTATTGGGGAGATTTGTTTTTGGCTCATTGCTGCAGGCTTGGAGATGGTGCTGAAAGGTCTGATCAAATTAATTAGTTTAGATGAATATTTTTCTTTCTTGTATGTCGGAGTAATATCTCAGTTTACGTTTTTTCAGAATTGAGAGAGATAAACTCTCAATTCTAAGAAGAAACATCAGAATTGTGAGATATAAACTTGCAATTGCAAGAAAAAAAGTCATAAATGTTTTTTATTCTGTGGAGGAAACAAAAAATTGTATTGCGAGATGTAAACTCAGAATTCTGTGGGGAAAAAAAGAAATGACTCAGAATTGCAAGATATAACTCAGAATTACAACAAAAAACTCAGAATTGTCATTTTATATCAACTTTTTTCTCAGAATTCTGAGTTTACAATTTTCAGAATTGTGAGAAACAAAGTCTGAATTGTGAAATAAAAAGATGCAATTACATTTTTTTTTTAAATCTGTGGCGGAAACAGGCTCCCATAATAGGGTCCAATGTTTCTTGAACCCCATTGACTTTCAAAGTATCTTCTTCTGTGTTCCAACAGCATAGTGCTATTGTAGCTATTGAAGACTTTATTTGAAGAATGTGTGATGGTATTGGATTTTGGCTCTAGGGATCGTGGAAGTGGGGTCCTAATGGCCATGGTGCAATTCTGCTGGTCAACTGTGACTCTGAGTCCACATACAAGAAGACACTGGACAGTGAGGTTGATGAGATCAGTAAAGTCTCGGGTGAGTCTGGGCAGGTCTGGTGTCAGATATGGGAACGCCGCAGACGATTGTTAAGTGTAAACAGACTTTGTACTAAAGCCCAGTGTGTTGTGTACTTACCATTTTTAAGCACCGTAGGCAAGCAAAATCATGCTTCCTTATTATTAATCCTGTTTGGACAGAATACATTGGAAGTCCAGTAAAACTTTTTTTTCCTTTCAAATTTAAATCAAATTGGTTTATTTAGTACTAATAAATATCCATAGAAAATAGATCCATAAAAAAATAAAATTAAATGTACAATTTCGCTTAATTGTGTATTTTTCGGTGCATATTAAACTGTTAGCTTAGTTAACATCTGACTCTACTCCTCAAATGCCATGCTGTGGAAAGGAAGTGAGAATTATCTAAATGTGTTTTGATGGCAGATTTGCAGGACATGTCCAAGATGATCCTGCGCACCAACGGCCCAGCTGAACTTCCTGAAGGCTATAAACTGACCATGCACATCTCACAGACCACTTCAGAGAGCGTGAGAGTCTTCAGACCTCAGACAAATGTACAGAAAGACAATGTGTGGAGTGAGTGAATAATACAATATTTTATATAATATACAAAAAATGTTTTCAGTATACATTTTGAGTTTTTTTTTTTTTACTTTTTGGAGCTTGTGTTTATTATGAACTTTAAAATTTTGTAGCCTGTCTTAGTTATTAGTTATTTCATTTAAATTGAAATATATGTAGATACACACAGACACACTTAATTCAATTAGAAGCAAAAACTGATGCATTATAAAGGAACATCAGTACTTTACTGAATGGGTCCTCTTTCTTTCTTACCAGAGCATAAACTCCTGAAGTTGTTCCTGAAAGATTATATAATGGTGGTGGGAACGGACATGCTGACACAGAAAGTGCCCTATCTAGGAGGCAAAACTGAACTGGAATTCTTTGTAGAGGGTCTTCATTTCCCTGATAGAGACTTTGATGGGCTCATCACCATCAACCTCAGTCTACTAGAGCCCTGTGGCAAGGTTAGTCTGATCTGATCTCTCATGCAACCTGGAGGACATACAACATTCTGTTCTTTTACTTACTGCAAGAACTACTCCAGTCTTGTAATAAAAGTTACATTACAACACTCTTCTATAAAATTAGTTTTTTGGGGTAATATCATTCTCTTATAACCTCTAAATACTAATTACATTTGTTGTTATTATTTTCTTAAAGGATTTCCCTGAAACTCCAGTCTTTACAGATAAAGTGGTATTTCATGTTTCTCCCTGGATCATGACCCCAAACACACTCAAACCTGTGGAGGTGTATGCATTAAGATGCGTTTTGCGTCCAAACAGTATCTAGATATTTTTGTAGCCAGATTTGACAGATCTGTCTTTTTTATGGGAAAGAATAATGCTGGCATCTTCTAATCTTTCACTCAGAACTGTATTGACTGGAACAGGGACGTGCTGAAGAAAGAGCTGGGGTTGGATGATGAGGACATCATTGATTTGCCCATCCTGTTTAAAGTGTTAGAAGAGAAAACGTACCCCAGGGCAGTGGCTTACTATCCCGACATGGTACAGCACATTACATTTTAAAACAAATGTTTTGTATTTCAATACATTTTAAAATGTAATTTTATTGCTATGATGAATTTTCAGCATCATTTCTCCAGTCTTCAATGTCACATGATCCTTCAGAAATCATTCTAATATGCTGATTTGCTGCTTAAGAAACATTAATTGCCATTATCAATCTTGAAACCAGTGCATAGCGTAATGTAAAGCATCATTAACCTATCCTACCAAATACCCATTCATATTCTACAATCAGGAATATTAAGCTACTTGAGGAATCTGCTATTATAGTTTTCCCATTACATTGACCTTTGTTTTGATGCATTACCTGTATTTACCCTCAGGTGAACATGATCGTGTTGGGGGATCAGCTGGGCATCCCAAAACCGTTTGGGCCGAAGGTGAATGGCAGGTGTGCTCTGGAGACGGAGGCGTGTTCTCTTCTGGAGCCTCTGGGCCTCAAATGTACCTTCATTGATGACTTGACCCCGTACCACAAACTGCTGGGTGAAGTTCACTGCGGTTCCAACGTTCTTCGAGAGCCGTCCCCTTTCAAATGGTGGAACCTAGAGCTGTGAGAGAGAGAGAGACTAGACCTGTCAAGTGCCTATTAAGTCTAGAAATAAGCAATTCATAGAGCAAAATACTAATCGGATAAATGGAAATTCTCTCATGATTTACTCACCCTCATGTTGTTCAAGCAGCTCTTTTCCATATAATGATAAAGTGCTGTCAAGCTCCCAAAAACGAATGCGAAATCCCCAAAAATCATTCATATCACTATGCAATGTGTTCTGAATTCATATAACGGCTTTCCATGAGGGACAGACAGAAATGTAAGTGCCTATTCTTTGATGAAAATCCAACTTTTTCAGTAAATGCAACTTGAAGAAGAGAGCAAATCGTGCACTTATGAAACAACATGAGTGTGAGGAGACAACAGTTTTTAGTACTTCGTAAAATTCTTATAACTTTCCTCTGATAATCAGGCCTTGTTTTAGCAGTATAGTTCCTCCTCAGGCTGCAGTGGTGCTGCTTCAGGATTTCTAAAAAAAAAATTAAGGGCTTACAATTATACATAATGCTTTGAAAAGTGGTTTAAAATAATGTTAACCATTTAGAGACCTGTTGTTTATCTTTTCTAACAACAAAAGTAAAAAAAAAGTTCACAAAGTCTGTACTGGGTTTTTATAACTATGAATGTTCATTCTGTGTTGCCTTACTAATAATGACTGAGAATTTGATTTGAGTTTGTCTTGGGTGTAAATTTTTTCCATAATGTACATTACAGCAATAAATAAACATTTCATGACCCCTCTGATCTTTATTAAACACGATTTCTTTTGTTTTATTACAAAAAAAGAAGAAAGTCTTATTTACAGTGAAACATTTAATAAAGTAGCATAATAAGCACTTGTAAAGGAGAACAATCACTTGCAGAAAGCAGTCAGTGTTTTTGGAATGAGTTTGTGCTTAATGGCTCTAACATGTGCAAACGCATTATGTACAGTTCGGCCAATCAGCAGAGACTTGGGGCTCTGACACAGCGAACGTATGGCTTAAGCCAACCAAAAATATTTTTCCCTTTTCCATGAACTGTTTTAAAAGGATCACCCCTGAAAGCACCCAAACAGCATTATTTATAAGCCTAAATCTCCCAGAAAATTTGACTACCTCTTCAAACAAGAAGCAAATTGGGATATTAGTCTTACAAAAAAAGTACCAAGGTATTTTCATGTTTCTGGACATGAAACTGGTAATGCCATGTTTCTTCTATAATGGTAATACCATGGTATTCTTTGAAATATGCATCATAAACAGTAAATACCATAGTATTTTAAGGAGCTGTAAAGTGACAAATGTTTTTGCAAACAACATGAATTGCAAATGTTTCATTTTATGAGAGTAGATTAGCTCAAGTCATTAGCTGAAAAAAAGTCTGTATCCCATATATCAATGAGATGAATGGTAATGCTAACGGATAGCATTAACACCATAGTACTATATTTAAAAACTAAATTTATTATATGATCTAAAATGGGCAGTTTTGTTCGCCAAAAAACATGAATAAAATGTGCATTTGTGTTTGAAAACAAAATAAAATGCCCAACATTTGCTATTGAACAAAGCATCTGATCAATATATTCCGACCTAGTGTATTCCATAATCCATATCCACTATCATGTGTGTCTGCAGTTTTACATTCATATTGCTCACATGTCATATAAGCTCAAATGTCTTCAGGACTTCAATATATCTGACTTGAGAGACACTGATGTTTTAATCTGCACAGCTAGCTTTAAAAACATGAGGCTACTACATTAGTGTACAGTTTACACACGTCAGTTTTACCACAAACAGCTGTGGCCTTACAAAAATATGTTGATTGGTAAAACAGCATAATCTTAATAAATAATATTTGAAAAGTATACAGCATATCACACCTGATCTATTCATCATAAATTATAATGCCTACGCTTCATTTATTGGACGGGATTCGGAAATGGCTTGGGTGCTCGACACCAGAAGATACACTGAAATACAACATTTAACATTTACCTATATTCATTTTCAGCATCATTACATCATGACACAAAAGGAAACAAAACAGAACCACACATAGATGTGTATTACTTTGTGGGTTCACCTGATGGGTTTAAGTTTAACCTCATTTGTTTTTCTTAAAGATGCCGAAAGCTGGTGACTGCTTCCCACCCCCGTCACTAAAAGATCTACTCACCACAGTGAGCCTCAATAAATAAATAAATATGACAAATAAAACCCAAACCCACACAATGAGAGCTACAGTTGGAAAAGAAAGAAAGAAAGAAAGAAAGAAAGAAAGAAAGAAAGCAGCCTATGATAAGGCCACAATCATGCGTGATTCATTGCCAGCTGGCAGCTCTTTTCTGTTCTTCTAGACGTGTACCAGCCTTCAGCACAAGCCAGGCAGGTTTGCTATTGTGTCTACAGACCAACAGCCACATGATAGAAGATAAACGGGTTGAGTCCTTAAAAGAGCACGCTGATATTCTGATGCACACTTGCCCAACTGTATGCCGCGGGGCTGGAACTAGCAGTTCAATCCCCTTCACATCCGTGTCTCTACAGGAACTCTTGTGAGCACGTCTAGTGTCCGCTGCAGAGGGCTGCTTATGAAAATGCTGAAAATAACACATAATTAATGATTGATGAGGAGAATGATATTTATACATAAATGCATATACTGTATATACAGTTCAAAAGTTTAGGGTTGGTAAGACTGTTTAATGTTTTTTGAAAAGTCTCATCCTCTCACCAAGGCTGCATTTCTTTAAATAAAAATACAGTGAACGTTGAAATGTTATTACAATTTAAAAGAACTGTTATCTGTTTTAATATATTTTAAAATGTAATGTATTTCTGTGATGACATTCAAAGCTGAATTTTCAGCATCATTACATCATACATTACAGTCTTCAGTGTCACACAATCATTCAGAATCAGTCTAATATGCTGATGTGCTGCTCAAGAAGCATTTCTTATTATTATCAATGTTGAAAAAAGCCGTGTTGCTTAATATTTTTGTGAAAACCTTGATACTTTTTTAGGATTCTTTACTGTCACTTTTGATCGATGTAATAGATCCTTGCTGAATCGAAAGTATCAGTTTCATTCTTAAAGTGCCCCTATTATTTATGGGTAATGAAAGGTTGATATTTTGGTTTTGGGAGTCCCCAACAACAGGTTGTCATGCATGCAAGGTCAAAAAACACTTCTATTGTCTTATAATATGCATTTATTTATACCTTATTTGCTCAACGACTCCCAAACGATTCATTTTTCCAAACCCCTCCTTTGCGTGACGCTAATCTGCGGTGATTGGTCCGATTGGTCTCATTTCCATTTCATCCTGCCTGTAATGCCTGATAAAGCAGCGTTTGTGAGCACAGTGCTGCTTTGTTTACAGCGTTACCGGGGAAACAGCTATTTTACCATGCCAAAAGTGGCACCTAGTGGCAAAGAGTTTGTATTTTTTTTTATTCAGGCCAACCAATGACTGTATAAAAACATGGACGTAGTGTCCATGATGTCACCCGTAGATTTCTGAAGAGTGTTTTTGAAGCTCAAAAGTGGGCGGAGGCAGCCGTCGCCATCTTGGCAGCGCGTCACCGCACATCACTCCCGGATAATCGAAAATGGGCAAAGAGGCGGGAGCAGGTTGCTGAAGCCACGCCCACCTAGCTCGACGGTGGTGACAGCAGCGGCAATCCACCTGTCACTCAAGTGGCCACGCCCTTAATTATGCAGAACTTTAAGGCTTAATATAATTTAAATGGATGAGTTATAAAAAAATTCACCCCCCTCACAGTTGTCATGAAGGACAAAATTTGCTATATAGACCAAAATAATTTTTTGAACCAGGCTGTAAACATGTTTTTTTCTGCTGTAAAGTTGGGCATTTTAACACGGGGAGTCTATGGGATTGACTCCCTTTTGCAGCCAGCCTCTAGCGGCCAGTTGATGAATTACAGTTTAAGTCACTTCCGTGTTGGCTTCACGCGAGAGAGCGGGAGGTTGCCGCTTGAGGCCAACGCGAAAAGACCAACAAGCGGGCGGGCAATATGCTAATATTTCATGTCTACGTCAACATGAAATGGCTTGGGATTTGTTTTAAAAACGACTCGTTTCAATGATTCAGAGTTGACTATTTCTTTTGAGAGACAATAACTTTATACACGGTGCACTTTCAGATTTAAAGCTTTGCAGGATGTTTTCATTCACTTAGAGCTGTGTTACACACTGCATGAAAGGTACATTTTCAAAAATCCATAATAGGGGCACTTTAAATATCTTACTGACCCCAAACTTTTGATTTGTAATGTAATTTTCTGAATGTCATGCTACACTGCAAATATCAGTACAACTACCTTAACATAAAAATCATAAAGGGATAAAACTAGGTCTTTAAGAGGTATAAATATAATCAAACGAGACAGCCATATAAGCCCAATAAATATATCAAAACAGATATAATCCACATTTTTGCTGTTCCTAACCTGTTGATGGACATCCATGAAGTCATCTACAGCCTACAGGACAGCTAGCAGTTCTGTGCAGGACAAACACACACAGAACAAAACAAATACAAAGAAAAACTACATTAGATATGATGTTCAAGAGCAATTATACAGCTACAGAGAGAAACAGTCATGCTATGACTTTAAAGTGTTGGAATCGAACATTCTATCAGTTTAGTTTTTTGCTGAAATTCACTTATAACATTAGTCAAGGTTCATAATCATCTTCCACCCTCTTTACGGGACATTTTTATTCTGCTCTGCCTGTAGGACTATAAAAACGGCATTTTTGTGACTAGCATGTTCTTATGGCAAGCACATTTCTTACCGAGTGTTGTCTTTCTGTTTTTGGACGAGGTTCAGATTGCTGTCGCAAGGGACCTATTGTGAAACGAGATAAAAAAATTACAACAACTGAAACAAATTCAAATGAAAACTGAAAATATAAAAATAAAAGCTAATTCAAAATATGAATAAATACTAAAGCAGTATATCAATAATACTAAAATAACACTGGCTCTATTGTGGGCCTTGTCTTAATTTCATCATGTATATTCCCTTAGTTTTTATGAGGCAATATTTGCTCATACTACACAGATTGAAGTACAGCTGCAAAAAAAATTTCTTTAATAGTTAATTATGGGTGCAACAGGTTAAAAACAGATCTCCAATGTTTTCCTATTTAATTGATCTAACTTCTGAGTGAAATCTCTTAAAGTAAAATGAGCACACAAGTTAATATCACAGTATGAAGGTTGTTGGTCTGTCAGTGGTGTATTTTGTTTGTGATTCATCATATCTCATATGATCTTTTTTGCTACTGTTACCTATCAGGAAACATATCATGTACATTATTTATTTGGCAGATGTCTTTTTCTCTGGGAAACAAACACATGACCATGGCATTGTCAGCTCTACTGTTTGAGCTACAGGGATGCTAATGCTAATGATGAAGCTATAGGGTTGTAAAATAAGATAATTTACTCACCCTCATGTCATCCAAGATGTTCAAGTCTTTCTTTCTGCAGTCGCAAAGAAATTAAGGTTTTTGAGTCCATATAATGGACTTCAATGGTGGCCAATGGGCTGAATTTCAATGCAGCTTCAAAGGGCTCTACATAATGCCAGCCGAGGAATAGGGGTCTTATCTAGCGAAACGATCAGTCATTTTCTAAAACCTTTTCAACATGACTACGTAATGCGTGAAGTCGAGCTAGTGCAAGACAAGCATTTGTGGTTAAAAAGTACGT